CCAAGGTTTGAATTGCTTGAGGTTCGAGTTCTTAAGGCTTTGTTGACCTGGTGCGCTGTCAGGATTTGGATTGCTCGAGGGTTGGTTCCTCAAGGCGTTGTTGACCTGGTGTGCTGCTAGAGGGTTGGTTCTTCGAGGCGTTGTTGACCTGGTGTGCTGCCAGGGTTTGGATTGCTCGAGGGTTGGTTCCTCGAGGTGTTATTGACCTGGTGTGCTGCCAGGGTTTGGATTGCTCGAGGATTGGTTTCTCGATGCGTTGTTGACCTGGCGCGTTGCTAGGGTTTGAGTTGCTCAAGGGTTGATTTCTTGAGGCTTGATGGTCTGGTGCGATGCCAGATGCCAGGGCTTGGGATGCTCAAATGTTAAGCCCTCAAGGCTTGGTGAGCCTGGTGCGATGCCAGAACTTAGTGTACTTCTTTGACTTTTCAACTTTGCCACGAAATCCTAATAGAGGTTGCGTTAATTTTTCAACGCGCCATGTTAGCAATGGGTGGTCGACCCCACAACAATAAACTTGCACTCACGAAACTGAAAGAAGGATGCTAGAGATGTTACAAAACTCCAAACCCTAGCTAGCCCTAAAACTTCAATCCATTTCTCCCCCACATAAAAAGATCTGATAACTGTTTTTTACATATATAACTCCTATAATTCAAACACCGTTAAACTTTTCATTCTTTTCTTTTTGTAATACTTTTTATCATATTTTTTAGTAAGTATAAATTTTACGCACTCTTGGATTGAGTTTCAACTATTTTTGTTTTTATTTTGCTGGAAAAAAAGTAACCATTTTTTTATTATGGAATTTTCTTTAATTTTTCATTAACAATGAATGGTCATGACTCATATACCAAACAACGGACATATGGTCTTTATATATTAAAGGCGCGTAAAATCCAATACCAGCGATCGAGTTAGCAGCAGTTCATGCAATATTTACCCGGAAATAAAAGAGCTCATGCAATAAAGAAAAATAAAAGAAGAAAGATTAAAATTTCAGTTCGTATGTATATAGCAATATGTGTCTGTGTATATAAATATAAAGTAGTGTGCACTTAATTTTCTACTTATATCTATCCATTGTGTGGCCAGTATGCTTTTCTTGTATTATCATTAATCATTTTTAAACTTCATCTGAAGATTGAAAACTAGGAAGAAAACAAAATTTACATGACCATTTTTTTTCTATTGGTAAAATCATGTGATGTTTTAACCAAAGAAAATTTCGCTAAACACATAAAAATTCAATCTTAGCAACATTTTGTAAAGCTTCTGGCTAAAAGTATATTCTGATGCAATATATACTACAGAGCAACATAATCGTTTCTTGTGAAGTATTTCTATTTTTTTTTAACTTAGCACACAAAAAAAAAATAAAAAATGTATTTCTATTTTTTAAACAAAAAAACATACATGTTGTATATACAAGCACGACTTGTAAATTGTAATTGAAAAGCTAAAACTTAAGTCGGTTGACGTGTTTTGTGAGTCAACTTAGGTCTAAACACTTGCTTGCCCCATCTTTTCAATTGGTTTTGCCGTTTGTCCAGCTCTACAACTTGCATTGACTTTTATAGCCCATTTTTTTTGGTCAATTACTCAAAAAAAAGGTACAACCTTAAAAGTAAAATTTTTTGGAAAATATCTTATACAGAGTTTGGATCAAAAGGGATGTGCCAAAAAAAAAAAAAAAGGAAACCAATTTATTTCAATCTAAACACCAGGAGAAAATTGAAATAAATAGGCGAGATGGAAAAATCTTTTATATAACAAACTAAATTTTTGTTTTACATTTTATTTTTATATTTTTGTAAAATTATATATATATATATATATATATATATCATGAGAATAAGAGTGTGCAAGAAATATATATATATATATATATATTGCAATTCTTGCACACTCTTATTCTCATGAATTTGAACCCCTCCCACCATCTTAAAAAATGAGGAGGTTATAACTTATACCATTTGACTATAGATTCTTTGATTAATCAATTTTTAATTTTCTCTATCATATTATTACAATTTTCAAATCAAGATATAAAATTATTGGTATTATTTCCTTTTTAATTAATACTTTATTTTTTTTGTCTCTTTATTAAATCAATTAACTAATTAAAAACAACATAATAAATATATCGAGAGGGATTAAAATGAATAATTTATATACACCAAGAAATTATTAAGAATTTTTCTTTAAATATTTAAAAAGTTAATTTCGGAAAAAAAAAAGAAAAAAGAGTGAGGAGGAGTCAAGAGGGGGCGGTTTGTGGGGCCAACTTGTCCGTGATCGTCCGTATGAGCAAATACTACACCAAACAGAACTCTCTCTCTTTAGCTTTTCCACACGTGACAGCGACTTAGGGTTTGGACTCCGCTAGTAGTGGATGGACCCTCACTACGTTACCCCCCTCCAATGGCCTATTGTTTTTGCACACCCACCCTATCAATTCCTCTCTCTCTCCTCTGTTTTATAATTGTATCTCTGTACTAAAATCAACTGTGGATCTGATTATCCCTCCAAAAAATCAACTGTGGACCCACATTGTAATTATTTCTCTCTCTCTTTTTTTTTTAGTACTTTTTTTATAAATGTTTTTTAAATTTTTGTCGGTTTACTTGTTATATATTTATCTATAATTTTTATCAAGTGTGTTACGACATCACTTAGGCGTCATATATGATGTCATGTGTTTTTTGGGTTTCTTATTGACATGTGTTTGGGCCTCACCCATGGGCCGCTTGGAGTGCAAGCCTTGATCCACCATTATTTTCTGGCTCCGCTTCTTCTTCCCTCTTACAGTATTTTTTTTTTCCTGTCTTGTGAACAAGACTTACCCAAGTACTTACAAGTATGTATCGGTGCTCCTTCCAATTGTTGATGTGTACAATCACAAATATACGTTTTAAATTATAAAATCAGCAAAATAATAAATAAATAAAATATGATGGATAAATGCATGACATAATCTTTCTTACTTTGTAATTAGAGATGATGTGTACATCTATGATTGAACCGCGTCAATAATCAAGAAAGAAGACCTACTATTCTTATACACAAATCAATCTTGGCTTAAGTTAATGTGAAAAAAAAAGAGCTGATCAATAATTTCTTTACCTTTTGAGATATATATATATTTATTTATTTATTTAAGTAAATAAGATATGAGTCAATGATTTCTTTGCTATCCACCTAATTTATGTTAGCTTTGTACAATGATGAAATAAGTGGGCAAGATGATTAAAGGTAAAGAAGTGACCCGGTGTGTTGCACTTGAAGACTGTTTTGACCTTAAATACATCATCACTTTCCAACCCATTCACAACTCCAAATCTAATAATTCGTGTTCAAACCACCCCAGCCAAAGAATGTGCGTGTGTATATATATATATATATATATATATATATATATATAGGTTCAATAGGTCAAGATTTTTGAAATTCGTTTTTCATCCAAAAAATTCTTGGACAAGCTTGTCTAAAGGGTTGACCTCATTCACTAGAGTATAAGCTTTATGATTGTTCGTGTGCGTGTATAGAGAGAGATGGAGTCCACCGAAAGGGAGAAACAACTCACCTACCCTGGATTGTGACCTCTATCTCTTTCAGAAGTAGTTAACAAGGCAACGTTACATAAAAAGCAATGTGGAACTTTTTTTTTTTTTTTTTTTTTTTTTTCTTGTGTTCAAATAACAATGATTCTTAATTCAAATGGTAATAAAGAATTTTATTCTTAGTTTCCATTCCCCTATATATTATATATTATATATTATATATTAAAACTTGAAAGTTACCACAATAAACACAATTAATGTAAATTTCGCCTTACACAAATTCATATATATACCGTGAATCAAGATGTTGAGTGTTTGATTTTGTTAGAACAATATTATAGGTATATTAATTAAAGAAAGATGTTGAGTGTTGAGGTACTGTTTGATGATTATTTCTTGTTTTCAAGGTGCTACCAAATGTGAGGTACTATTTGATGATTATTTCTTGTTTTCAAGGTGCTACCAAATGGCATTACCCTTTACGTTTTTTTTTTTTTTTTGGGCACAATAGCATTACTCTATGCTGAGCAGAAGCTACTGTAAGAAGTTCAACTCGATCTATGTACATGAGCATGTATGCATAGAAATTAAAATGTATATGTGTTTCATAAAAATTAAGGGGTATTTATGTCTTTTACACATATATGAGCATGTATTTTCGGTCACAATACTTATAGTGCTGATTGTGACCCTTATCACTCATGGTGGATTTCACAAAGAATTGTGAGTGTTGCGATAGGTTAATTTTTCTTTATAAAAATGGTATTAGATACATTGTAAGACACTCTTAACAAATTCAATTTAGGAATTCATTGAATTAAGCCCTCACTCATATAGAATTCTGCATTAATGACTTCTCAAAAAATTAGGTTTTTCTAAAGATGCAATTAGGTATTACAAAAGAAATACGGAGTAAATTAAAGTGGTGTTTTATGAAATTAAAATTTTTGAATACTGCATCAGTAGCTAAAAACTTTAAAAATAATTTTGGACTTAAAACCTGAATTCCTTTCTAAATGGATTTTATTTTTGATAAATATTTTGAAATACGGTTAGCAGAGCCAATTCGTCTGGTTAAGTCTGCTGATCAAGAAGACAAAACTACAGGTAATCAGGTAAATAGCTAGACAAGTACCCATTTAATTGAGGCCCAATTCTAGATTGGGCTTTTGAAAGCAGCCACTAAAACAAACTATATAGCCTGTGATGGGGCCTTCCTTGTTGATGGATCGGGCCGTTTAAGGCCTGTAGACAGTTAATCAGGTAAATAGCTAGACAAGGACCGATTTAAGTGAGGCCCAATTCTAGATTGGGCTTTTGAAAGCAGCCACTAAATCAAACTATACTGCCTGTGATGGGGCCTTCCTTGTTGATGGATCGGGCCGTTTAAGGCCTGTGGACAGTCATCACTTACATCCTCGAGAAAGCTGCTTATCCTTTTTCTGTACTCTGTAGCATTTGAAAACCCTAATATTCAGTCTTGATCAACTTGTAAATTTTTGATAAAAAAAAAATGGCGATTTGTAGGGCAAGAACATGGTTGGTAAGAAGCTTTTCGTCACTTCCTTTCAACCGGTTACGTGTCTGTGTTGTTGGAAGCGGACCTGCTGGTTTTTATTCAGCCGAAAAGGTACAATTCTCTCTCTCTACATGTATGTATACACACATATTAGGGCTATATGTTTATTATTGTCAATTTAATATGCTTGGCAATAAGTTTCATTTAAATTGGCTTACTAGATGTTGAAAGCGCATCAAGGAGCAGAAGTTGATATTGTGGATCGGTTGCCGACGCCTTTTGGATTAGTCCGCTCCGGCGTAGCACCTGATCATCCTGAAACAAAGGTTTGAAACTTTCAAGAACTTGTTTAATCAGAATTTGTAATGAATATAATACATATAGACTTACATTCTGGCTGCATTTTTTTTGTTCACATTTGAATTTTATTTGGATTTTGAACCATTGTATTAAACTGGATTGATTTGTTGATCCAAATTTATTTTGAATACCTCATTGCAATTAAGCTAAGAATTTTGAAATACATCTGGTTTGTTGTTATAAACAAATTCAGTGTTCTTAATGAACATAGATTATAAGAGCATAACTCTTTCCAAAATGTTTTACTATGATGTGCCATACCTGTATAGTGTCATGAAGTTTATTGTGTTTCAGAAGCCTTCAAGAATTTTGTTTCTCTGTTTCAAATAATTCTGTTAATTGAGCTTAGTTTACCAGAGAGCTTTCAACAGATTGTAATGAACCAATTTTCTCGGGTTGCACAAAATGAACGCTGCTCATTCTTTGGAAATGTGTCTGTTGGATCTTCTGTATCTTTGTCTGAGCTTCGCCAGATGTATCATGTGGTAAGTTACCGACTCTAGGTAGATCCAGTGTTGAAAAATATTGTATGTTTTGCATTGACTACCTTGAATGTTTCATTTCGTTGACTGACATTAGCTGCTACTTATCAGGTGGTGCTTGCCTATGGTGCTGAGAGTGATAGAGTTCTTGGTATTCCAGGAGAAGTATGTAACAAACTTAGAATGTGGCTGGTTGCTTTTTTTTGTTTGTTTTAGTTCTTTGTAAATTTGCTTTTACTAATGGTGTCTTTGGCAGAATTTATGGTTTTATGATAGGCAAATATTTCAAGGGAAGTTGTGGTTCTATTGCTTACATCCTTTTGTCCTTTCCATTTTTTCTTTCTAGGATTTGACAGGGGTACACTCTGCTAGAGAATTCGTTTGGTGGTACAATGGACACCCAGATTGCACAAATCTAACTCCAGACTTGAAGAGAACTGACACAGCTGTTATTCTTGGCCAGGTATTAGGAGGGAGATTGCTAATATAATCATGAGATCTTAAATAGATTTATAAGATAGATTGGTTATTGTTTCCTGTTCTTCTTCAATCACAATTTAAGGAGTCTGGAATTAGGACATGATGCCTTACCCCATTTTTTAAAAAAACAAGAAAGAAACTTGCACAAAAAGAATTAGGAGATGGCAATGATACTTAGATAAAATGATGATCTGATTGAAGGGGCTGCATAGGCAAGCCCATTTATGAAATTTTTGAAAGATTGAAAAAGGAAGTAAAGGTGGCTTTTGTATGTACTTATGGGTTAAATGAAGATTAGTCACAATTTTTTTTTTTTTTTTTTTGATAAATAAACGAAGATTAGTCACAATTATTTGGGAATTAGATCTTAAAATCATATTTCTGATGCACAAACATTCCTTCACTTTGTCTGAGTGTGTTATACTTGCATGATATAGTGATTCATGACAACACTATGGCATTCTATCTCATTGTTTTCTGGTCTCATGTCATGCTCTTAAGGTTTCATTTCTGAAATACGAAGTTAAAGTTTAAACCCAAACAACTTCAATTAACAAATGTATGTTCTTTTTCATCAAATTTGGACTCTCCTTACTCAAACAAAGACTGCTTTCAGCTGCCGATCTGTTTTACTTATGTTTGTCGACTGAGTGTTCTACTTAATGATAAGAGGGTCCACATACCCATTTTACAAACTTTGCAGAGAAGGATTTCTGCTTTACTTTCTTGATCTGGGGCGAGAAGTAATAGTTGATAATTTAGGAATTGATTTTAAAGTTTGTATGCATAACTGATGAATATAAAATCTTTAAAAAATAAACCTTTTGCTTATATGAAACTTCAATCCTAAAACAAGTGCTCTCCTTATACCAAACAACTGCATTTGCTTTCAGGGCAATGTAGCTCTTGATGTTGCACGTATCCTTTTACGACCAACTGCTGAATTAGCAACAACTGATATTGCTAGTCACGCTTTGGCTGCTCTAGAGGAGAGTTCTATAAGGTTTGTTGTTTCACCGTTTGATAGCAACCAAGCAGTTCAGAACAAGGAATAATTTTTTGTGTCCAATACATATATGCAACTGCAGGAAAGTTTACCTGGTTGGAAGACGCGGACCAGTGCAAGCAGCTTGTACTGCAAAAGAGCTACGTGAAGTTCTTGGTAATTCTAAACTTATTAGTCATATACAATTGTAGAAACATATTCGATAATGTTCACATTGGGGTTTAATGGGACTGTTGGACCTGTTCCATCGGGCACTACCACTAGGAGAAAAACTGATGCTTGCTTTAGTTTAGACGATACCAATCTTTTAAATTTTTTAGAAGGCATGTTTTTTATTATAGTGTTTAATCTGAGAATGTCATTGTTGATGTTGCATTTTTTCCACCTTTGAATGGGTTTTGATGGAGAGATTGGCATCTTAGTGCAGGTATTAAAGATTTGTATATTCAAATTCAGGAAATTGATTTGCTGAAAACCACAGCAGATGAGGTATACTTCTCTTCCATAAATTTTAGTATGTTCCATCTCAAGTAATGCAGGGATTTCTTTTCACAGTAAAATAAAAAAAAATAATCATGGTTCTAGCTATATACTAGTTTTATGTCGCTAGAAGAAGCCCTGCAGTAGCAGATTTGACCTATTTTCCTCCTTTAGTAATTTCACCCGCACAACTGATTTATTGGTACCTAATGTCGTCATTTGGCAAAGGAAGAACTGAAGAATAGTCGAATTCAGAGGAGGGTGTATGAGTTGCTCTCCAAAGCAGCCATCTCAGGACCTTCCTATCCCAGTTCTGGTCAACGTGAACTCCACTTTGTTTTCTTCCGGAAACCAGATAGGTTTCTAGATTCAGGTGACAGAAGTGGCCAGGTCGCTGGTGTGCGCTTTGAGAAGACAGCTCTGAAAGGTAATTTATCTCAATAAAAATTTCGTCTGACAGAGGTCTAGATGACAATTCCATACTCATCTCTCCTTTAGCCATTGTTGTATTCATTGTCTCTTGCATTTTATTTGGGCATGTTACGGAGTAGTTTGTTGTGCCAAATGCAGTATCATATTCATCTAAGGACTGTGCAAAAATAGAATGTGGTGATTTATTGAAAAACCATCTTACCTTTAATTCTAGTACTTGCACGTTGAAGACAACAAGCAAAGAAAGAAAAGGAATGGTGAAAGGAATAGAGTTGGCATGCATTTCGTAAGAGGACACATTGCAGTTATGCACTAACAGCAAAATGAAAATGGAATATTTTCTATATGTATGGAATGTCTTTACGTCCTGCAATTAATGCTTAACTAGCTCTTTCTGTAGATGTTGGCTCCGGGAAACAGATTGCAGTTGGTGCAGGGGAATTTGAAGACCTTGAATGCGGGTAAAAATTATTTGAAATATGAGCTTTGACTACACATACCAACAACCCCTCAAAATATTGTTTACCTTTTGTGTTCTCCTTCTGTTTGCTTCTGATACCCATTTATACTCAAGCTGCTGTATGTAGAGGATATGACCATCATTTTATCTTAAACTGTTAACGAGTTTAATTATTCAAAGTTTAAAATACCCCTCATTTATTGTGCAATGACCTGTGCCTACCCACTCCTCCAACAAAAAAAAAAAAAAAAAAGAGTTGCAAGGAAGCAAATTGAGCTGTAGAAATGGGGATCTAAAGGTTGCTTCAGTCAATTGTAAACTCTTTCCTGTTGGTCCAGATGTTTGGATGAGGTAGTGACTATTGTGCCAGTGTGTTCTTGCTGTTTGCAGTTTGGTGCTAAAAAGTATTGGTTACAAATCCATACCAGTTGATGGTTTACCATTCGATCATCAAAAAGGTACGTCAAAGAATGTATGCACCACTGTACAAAAAAAAAAAATAAAATAATTCCTCACTCGTTACATCTTGTTGTTTGTGGATACTTCTTGCTTAACATTGTGATGCAAAAAATGCATGCATCATCTAGTCTACAAACTAATTTTTTCATGTAGACATGAGAGAATGATAATACTGTGGAGTCTGTTATTGTGCTTCAGCTTTTCCAATTTGTACCAGTCAGAGTGCCCAATACATAATATTCATTAGCTTTCATGTGATTAGGAAATTTATGGTTAGCTGAGACAGTAGAAACGATATGTTTCCCCATCAATGGCTTCTTTTGCAGGCATTGTTCCGAATGTTAGAGGACGTGTTCTAAATGATACTTCAGGAGATCTCACACATCTTGAGGAGGGGTTGTATGTATGTGGGTGGTTGAAGAGAGGACCTACAGGGATCATTGCTACCAACCTTTACTGTGCTGAAGAAACTGTAAGCTTTATTTGCATCGAATAATCAGAATACCATCTGTTTGAACTGCAAATACATAATCAGTTATGCATGAAGCATCTTGCTGGAAGTTTTATATGTAAAGATAATTAGCTTTTCCTTGAATGACTAAAATATTGGCAGATTGCAAGCATATCTGAAGACCTTGAGAAAGGAGCATTAGCATCGGCATCTACCTTCCCCAAGCCAGGCAGAGAGGGACTCCTTCACTTATTAGATAGCAGGGGCGCCAAAGTAATTCCATTCGGTGCCTGGGAAAAGATCGACTCTGAAGAAAAGAGGCTTGGGAGTTTGAAGAACAAACCCAGAGAAAAATTTACCACGCGGGAGGAGCTACTGAAAATTGCCACGGAATGAAACCATTGTGTTATGGATCTTTATTTTCTGACAGAAGATCTATATCCATGCAATGGGTATTTTTGGGCTGAAAATAGGTACTTCTTTTTTCTTTTTGCCCGCCATCTTGTTGCCACCCTCTCGTTTTCATGTCAATGATCATATATTGTAACACAAGGTTTTCATGTCAATGTTCATTCTATTGTAACAAGAAGACCAGAGTGCTTGAGCGGCATGGCATTGAATTCCAAGAAAATAACATTGACAGTCGTTCCAATGGGAACAGAAACATTTGGCTTTAAATTTTCAATGTGTGAACAGGAACTGATGCTTTAAATTTTCAAGGATTATATACACTGACCTTTCCCGAGGATAGGCCTAACTACACCCAGCTGAAACTTTTCAAATTTCTTGCATCCCAAAGAGTAGAGACCTTAATTTTAAGGTGAAATTACCTTTATACCCTCCAAATATTTCAGCATAAAAATACCAAAATATCTCCTTATAGACAGTGAAACACCTTTATAATACATTGGTTGGTGTTTGAGTCATTTGAGTAATTCTCTTCAGGATCCAATTTGATCGTGGCTGACTTCATCAAAATTTGACGTGGTTCAGTGGAATAATTTTGCAACCCAATTGGATCGCTAGGGTTAGGACCACATTTGAATGTTTTTGTGCGTTTGTGTGTAGAGTGTATATTAAGTAAATACAATAATACTTTTCTTCTCTCCTCTGTTCTCCCACCTTCTTAAGTCTTTCATGGCTGTCACACACCTAATTCAACGTTATAATACAGTTATAGGTCATTTGAGTCTCTCTCTTCCGGAACCAATTCGATTCGTGGCTGACTTCATCAAAATTTGATGTAATTCAGATCAATTATATAATATAAAAAAAATACTCAATTCCTTATTATAATGCGTGTTGGATAAAGGTACCACAACTCGTTTTAACTTTAGCTTGCTCACCAGTCACAGTGTTGATTAAAAAAGTTTGAATATGTCATTGTTATGGTCAGCAAATAGACCATACGCAAAAAGTTTGAATATGTCATTTTTATGGTCAGCCAAGATAATGTTATTTTTAATTTTACCATTTTGAAACAAGGTGGTGCACTAATAGCTCAAGAGAAACAACTTACGTCATTATACTCTAGCCTTCAAACCATTGAGGAAGCCAATTATAAGCAAAAATTCAGAGTTCAGTGGCTTAAAGAAGGTGACTCTTAACTCTTCCTTCTTTTACAAAAGCATGCCCTCAAGGTACAATAGGAACAAGATTACATCCCTCACATCCTCTGATGGGGTCTTACATGACACTGAGGTGGCTATCAAAGATACAGTTGTTGCTCATTTCCACAAGGTTCTTGGTATGGATCCTCATCCATTCCCAAGTATGGCATTCCTTGAACCATACATCCATTCATCAGTTCCATCCCACTTCACCTCCACACTCTCATCTATTCCAACTAATGAAGAAATTAAACTTTGTATGTTCTCAGTGTATAGTGGAAAGGCACTTGGACTAGATGGCTTTAATGCATTTTTCTTTAAGAGGGCTTTGTCATTGGGCATGATGTCACTCTTGCAATTAAAGAGTTTTTCCTTAATGGGAAGTTACTTAGAGAGGTTAACAGCTCTTTCATTTCTATGGTGCCTAAAGTTCCTAACCCCTCCTCCATAAATGATTATAGGCCCATCTCTTGCCGTTCTACAATCTACAAATGCATATCCAAGCTTTTGGCAAACAAGCTTAAGCCCATACTTCCTCACATCATTGGTCCCTCTCAGTCTGCATTTATTCAGGGTAGGACCATTGATGACAGCATACTTTTGGCTCAAGAGTTCCTCAATGGATACCATAGACAAGTAAATTCTCCAAGATATGCCTTTAAAATTGACCTTAAAAAAGCCTTTGACTCTGTTTCTTGGGAATTCCTCATTGACTCCTTTAAGGTTTTTGGCTTTCCACCAACCTTCATAGCCTGGTTTCACTTTTGTCTTACTACTCCTTCCTTCACCATCTCTTTTAATGGTGAATTCAATGGCTATTTCAAAGGAATCAAAGGTCTTAGGCAAGGTGACCCACTGTCACCATTTCTCTTTGTTATTGTAATGGAGGTGTTCTCAACCATTGTCAACAAAGTCACACTCCTAAGGCCCTTTAAGTATCGCTGGAGATGAAAATAAATTGTCTTTCTCACATCTGATATTTGCAGATGATTTGTTTATCTTTTCATATGGCAGCTTACCCTCAATTCAGACCCTTAAGCTTGCTATGGACACTTTCTCTCAACTATCAAGATTGCAAATCAACTTCAACAAGAGCCAACTTTTCTTTTCAGGTGTTAATGAGTCTACAGTCCAAAGCATTACCTCCTTCATGGGAATTCAGAAGGGTACCCTACCTGTGAGATACTTGGGAGTCCCCCTTATCTCTACCATACTTAAATCCACTGACTACGGAATTCTGATTGATAAGATTACATCAAGAATTTCTCATTGGACCAGTAGGCATCTATCCTTTGCAGGTAGGCTACAACTTGTACGTTAGAGTTGTTTTATTTTCCATTCAAACCTATTGGAGTTCTTAGTTCATCCTTCCAAATAGCACCATCAATGAATTAATTAGAATTTTTAGGGCATTCCCATGGTCTGGTCTTGAACTCAAGAGGACAATAACAAAGGTGGCTTGGAGGTTTTGATGTCTCCCTAAAAGGGCAGGTGGTTTGGGTCTACCTAATTTGCATTCTTGGAACAAGGTTGTAATAATGAAGCACATTTGGCACTTGTTTAAGTCTAAAGATATGCTATGGGTTCAATGGGTTAACATTTACCTCCTTAGAGGAAGAAGCCTTTGGGAAGTCACCACTCCTAGCCAGTGCTCCTGGACTTGGAGGAAGCTTCTCTAACTCAGGCCAGCTTTTCGACCCCTTGTTAACCTAGAAATTGGGGATGGACAAAACATCAATTTCTGGTTTGACAATTGGTGTTTTAGCCCTCTTCATCAACTAATTAACCTTAACAGTTTACTGGCACTTCCCATAACACCACAACTAAACTTGGCTCCTTTATCACCAATTCAACATGGGTTTTTCCCTTCTCTATCACAAATATTGTAACGACCCAGCTCTTCATGGATCCGGATCATTAAACGGGTCCTTGTCTGTCTCATAAACCTCCGAGGGTAATACAGTCATTTCACGTTAAATTTAAATATCAAGGTCCAAAAATGACAAAATGGTAATTTGCCATAATTCAATAAATTGAGACTCTGAGGGTAAAATGGCCATTTACTTGCATCATATAATAATTAAAATAAGATCCGAGGTAAAATAGTCTTTTCGGTGGTCAAAACATAATTATTGCATTTATTTGGGTCATAAAATAATTACGTATAACCTCACTTGGGTACCAAAGTGTAATTTAAGAATTTAAAATAGCAATTACATACGAAACAGAAACATACGAAACAGAAACCGGTCGACGTATATGCTTCATACATCGACTGGTTTGGGACATGAACAGTAATGACACCCATTGCCGAGATACCGGTCGACGTGTGGGATGTACACGTCGACTGGTTTGGGAAGTGTACAGTGACAACCTCTCTGCCAGGATACCGGTCGACTGGTTCACGCTACACGTCGACTGGTTCACGTTACACGTTGACTGATTTCGGGTTAAATACACTCAGTCACTTACTGTCCAAGGGAGCCCAATATACATCTACACTCAATAACCAACCACTAACGCCATTACTCTCACGTACCAATTTATATACATTTCAAAACCTAATGCAACACCAACGTTGTTAACGTAATTTGCCGCACGTTACTTAAAATACACACAAACTGATTTTGAGTGAGTAAAACTTAATTTCATTTTCCAAGGACCATATACAAAATGAATCCAATCATTTAACTTGTTGCAAAAATAATACATATTGATAACAAAATTTTTGTAGGATACATAACACGTTCCAATACATCATTTAAAGACCGAATTACATAAGTCTCATTTTATACAAATTTCAAAAGAATTAAATACAAGAGTAAGGCCTCTATAGCTAAAATTTACACAGCTTTGGTATAAATAAAAGTGAAGTCCAATCTACATTGATATCCATGGATGTACATCAATTACCGGCTCATCTCCAAATCCCTGAAAAATGTTAATATTGATAGGGTGAGCTCAACAGCTCAGTAGAGTAAAGCCTAAATCACATTCCTAAAAATCCTGTGAGCCACAATCAAAGAATGGGATTCAAATAAAAGGGATCATGGGATTAAATCATTTCAACATTCATGAAATTCATAATTTACATTTAAATTATCCTATCAAACATCCAAACATACAAATTGATAACATAGATTATACTTTTACATTTTTTCATAGAAAAGTGGCATACTTGGCACAAATACAAGAAACCATCATTTCCTCATCCTTCAACAATTATTTCATCACAATTCATGCTCAACATCACAACCAAATTTTTTTAAAAAATAAGCATGCTTCACAACCTTAAAATTATCATGCAAGGAGGCATATAGAAACTCACTAAAACCATAGGAATTTGTAAGCTAGACTCCCCCTACCTCAAGATAGAAACTTAAGCTCTAAGCTCCAAGCTCCCAACTCAAATCCCTCCAAAAGCTTGCAACATCGGTACCAAAATGTAGCCTTTGGAATGGTCTACGATTTGCCAACAAAGGCTTAAACCAAATCCTCTCTAGCATAAACAAATTTTAGAAAGATATAGAGAGAGAAAGAAGAAAATAGAGGAAGAGAGCTTGTGGGTTGGTCTGAAAATGAGGGGAAGAAAGAAAGAAATGGGCTAAAAGGAGACACCTCATTGTCTCTAGAATTCTCTAGGCTATTCCATGAGTCAAAATGACAACAATGCCCCTTGAACTTCTTTGTAACTTCAACCTTGCCATAAAATACATCCTTCCATAAAATACCACTAATACAACATACATACATGTAAAAATATACACATACACATATGAAATGGCGAAAACGCCCTTCACTTAAGGTGAAAAAACTTAAAGAAGTTCCCGAGTCCGGAAATCGTGCCGACCTCCAAAAATTCTAAGAATGACACCGTCGCTTCTAATTGACTTAAAATGATTAAAAATACACTTCTAAAACCCTCGGTTCAACAATTGACCAAAACGCCCCTCGAGCCCACGTGGCACACAAAACGAGGCAATGATTAAAATAATCTAGAGAAATTAAATAAATTTAGAAATTAGAAAATAGGAAAAATCGGTAACGTTACAAATATCCTTCCACAATTACACCTCACAAATAGACTGCCATCACCAAACTCCCATTAC